TTTCAAGGGAATGTTCCTAAGTCCTATTGGGGAGAAGCCGTTTCTTACTCCACATATATGATCAATAGACTTCCCTCCCGTGTGTTAGGAAACAAAAGCCCCATAGAGGTCCTAAATAGCTTCTACCCTCACTTCAGAACCTCAAATGGCCTCACTCCCAGGGTATTTGGGTGTACTGCCTTTGTTCATGTCCACAAACGACATAGAGGGAAGCTAGATCCCAGAGCCATCAAATGTGTTTTCCTGGGTTACTCCTCCACTCAAAAGGGATATAAATGTTACAACCTCTCTACTAGAAAATTTTACATTTCTGTAGATGTCAATTTCACAGAAAATAAACCCTTTTTTTCCCAAGTCCTCTCTTCAGGGGGAGATTTCCATGATGGAAGATAGTACTTGTGAGCCCTTTGAACCACTTAAAATCCTTGACCTTCCACATGTGTCAGCCCGTGTTGTTGAACCTGAATCAAACTCTCCTCCTGTTCCAGCTGAACCCGAGTCCTCTGAACCAATCACATCTGAGTCACCTGATCCTGAACCCTTATCATCTCCTACTCCAACCAGTGTCACTCACGATTTCCCGAGATTTCCTTAGGTGTATTCAAGGAGAAAGACCGTTCCTGAATTGACACAAGTCCAAGAATCCAATCCACTCTATCCACTATCTCACTATGTATCTCTCAAGCGCCTATCACCAACCCACAAAAGATTCATTGTGAGTTTGAATACCATTGTCATTCCTAACAATGTGTCTGAGGCATTGTCAAAAGGGGAATGGAGGGACGCTATGAAAGAGGAAATGAGTGCATTAGAAAAGAATAAAACATGGGAGATCGTTGACAAACCGAAGGAAAAAAAATATTGTTGATTGCAAGTGGATTTTTAAGTACAAGGCTGATGGATTCCTTGAAAGATATAAAGCAATGTTAGTAGCCAAAGGGTGCACTCATACTTACGGGGTGGATTATCAGGAAACCTTTGCTCCAGTTGCAAAAATGAACACTGTGAGAATCCTGTTATCATTGACTGCTCACTTCAATTGGCAACTGCTACAGTATGATGTTAAGAATGCATTCATTCATGGTGATCTAAATGAGGAAATCTACATGAACATCCCTCCGGGATTTGAAGGGGACATAAGTAACAAGGTGTGCAAGCTGAAAAAGTCCATTTATGGGTTAAAACAATCTCCTAGAGCATGGTTTGACAGATTTACA